GGGAGCACTCCGACGATCAAGTCAGTTATCTCTCAAAGATAGCAAAAGTGCTCAACTCACTATTCAGAATACAAAAAGTGTACCTTAGCTCCATGACGGTGCCTCTCTTTTATAGCCAACACTGTTCTAATTCCAATAGGAATCTTACTCCAATGGATTCTGGATCACTACTAATTTTAGACTCCTAGTAGGATTGGGATAAACTCGTCTTATCTTTATCCAAACTGAAGTTCTCTCCCATTCTGGGACTCTTGTCTCTTATCCGCTTATCCCAGATTCCGGTATTCTCGCAGATAACCTCGGCCTATCCGAGATTACCTCGGCATCATGTCCAGGACACGTGGCATCTCGGTTGATACTTCGGTGCCAACTTAGCTGCGTGTTGCCTTCCAAAAATTATGTCCCCACAGTATTTATATAATAAAAATATATTAAATCTCTCAAATAAATTATTAAATGTTTTAATAATTATTTATATTGGGGTTGAGATAGTGTGGAGGTTGAGACAATATTTGATAACTTCAGGGAATAAGCTTAGTTTTGAGATGTGGATTGACTTTTTGATTATTTTAGTTTGGGTTAAAAAGTTTCGTTCGGGATATAATTTTTGGTCATTTTGACTTTTTTGAGAGAAAAAATAAAATGATTATGGATTAAATATTATATTTTATCCTATTTAACTAAAATAACTAGTTTTATCTTATATTAACTATTTTAACCCAAACTAGTATCCCAAATATAGCCTAATCAATTAAATGGTTTGGTTGAGACAATTGTGATTTATCTTCGACATATTTCACTTATTTTGTATAAGTGGACTTTCCTCCCATCCATAATGGGTTGGAGGCTCCAATTGAGACAATTGAGGGCCCTTAGTTGGTCTAACTTAATGATTTGAACTTTTGTGTTGGATATAAATTTGTTCACGCAGTGTGAATAAAACACTTTAGTTTATTGGTTGAATAAATCGAGTGGTCGTACAAACAATGTGAAATTGACCAATGAGAGTGTTTTGTTCACGCTGTGTGAACAAATTCACACTAGTTCATAATATAGAACTTGCCAAGTAAATTATTTAGGTAAAAAATCAAGTTAATCATGTATTAATAGCCACACATTGGGACCTAATTTGTCTTTAAAAAAAAAATTTGGAATGGCCAATATGATTTTGAAAATAGATCGTCAATGATCCAATCAAGTAAATACTAATATTTAATTAATTTGGTTTTTTTATATGAATGATTTGCACTGTGACCTAATAATATGAACAATTTGAATAAACAAAATAACTCCAAATGGGTCTACAATTGCCTCACTTGGGCCTTCTAATCCATATAATTACCATATATATATATTTATACATATATATATGTTCACAATTATTCATTCTTATTCTTAAGAAGATTATTATATGTTTCCTCAATAAAAATCAACCAAAAGGCATGCATATTAATTTGAGGATTTTAATCTTTGCCATTACATGTTTTTCTTCAAAATAGTTGTGAATAGATTTTAACGTAGTTTGAAGATTCATAACATCAGAAGTTAATTTTTACAAATTATATTCCTGAATTATTATACTTTGATGATTTTCAGGATGAGATCTTTAATAGTCACAGTCATGCCTAGGTTATTTATTTATTTATTATTATTTATTTATTTATTTAAATGTATATTTTAAGTGAGACGTGATGTGATGTGACAGGGGTGGAAGAATATGGGGTCTTATAGTAATTAAAAGAAATTAAAGGTAATAGATAAGAATGTGAGATGGAAATTTGCTGACCTAAAAAAGTTAGAAAGCACTTCAAAAACTTTGTAATGAATATTTAGATGTGCAATGTATTTGATAATAATAGTCTAATAAAGATATTTCAAAAATGTTAAAAGTTATGCGGCGTGTGTCAACTTAGTTATGATATACTGTTTAATAATATATATTTTTTCTCTTTAATCCTTATTATTTTGATGTATTACTTTAATTTCAAGTTAACAATTTATGTTTTTTTGCTCATTTAAAAAAAAAGGGTTTGGACAAAAAAATTTGATGAACACTGAACACTTTTTATTAAATTTAATGTATTTTTTTTTCCGAAAATTTATTAATAAATCTCATACGAAGGAATATTGATCCATTAAGTTTTAAGAGTTATTTTATTTTATTTTATTTTATCAACCAATTAGCTATTTTTATTTTGATTTAATAATGCCATTTTAGTTTACATAAATGCCGTTTTGTGATTCATTTTCTCAATTTTCTAATTCGTTTTTAGGATGAGAATGAAAATGTGAGGTGTGAAAGATTCTTTTTAGGAGAATTGATGGCTGTCAAGTGTGGTAATCTACATTTTTGTTAGTGTGATTTTCTGGTGTTACATCAGAATGTTACATTAGAGTGTTATGTTTGTGTGTTATATTGATTAGAGTGTTACATTTGAAAAAAGTACACTAAGGAATTTTGTTGGAATGTTATATTGTTATGTTTGAGAAAAGTATACTAAGAATTTTTTGTAAAATGTTATGTTGCTATATTTGAAAAAGGTACACTAAGAAATTTTTTCAATGTGTTATATTGAAGTGTTACGTTTTTGGAGTGTTACATTGCAGTGTTATGTTTGAGAAAAGTACACTAAGAATTTTTTTTTTTAAATGTTACGTTGTTATGTTTGATAAAAGTACATTAAAGAGCTTCTTTAGTATGTTACATTGGAGTGTTACATTTTTTTGGAATGTCACGTGTTACGTTTAGAAACAATACACTAAGGAATTTTTTTAAAATGTTACATTTAGTAATTTTAACTTTATAAAAAAACCCACATTTGTTCTTCAACACCTAATATGTGCATTTATATTTGTCTTTTTATATAATTCATACTAAAATGAAACCTTTGAATTTATAAGAAAAAATGGAGGAAATAATTGGTAAGATTACTATTTTAAATTTATTGGTGCTTGACCTCTTTTTGTTTTTGCTGGAATCAATATATTCTTTAATGCTATTTATGTATTTTCAAGCACATTTTTCAACATTAAATTAACCAACAATCTTTGAAGAATAATTCTTTACTTGCATTAATCATGCTATCATTAACTAATATTGTAATGACATGGAATTTCTATACCTTAAATCTTCGTTTCCCTGTATCTAATGCACTCTCCGTAATATGATTTTCTTTGAGATTCTTGTATTTTGAGTTTTTTATTACATTATATGTTTGAGAGTGTAATACGAAGAACATATATTTTAAGTATCGATGATCCCTAGTTGTATCTTATCTTCTTTAAAATCCGCTCAAATCAATGTCTTACACTAATAAAAAACTATATAATAAAGTTAATTAATTATACTATGCTTTTTCTATCGTTTTTTAGGATATCAGTTACATAGATCTAATATTCAAATGTTGTATAATAAAGTTAATTAAGTATAATGTTTATGGATTTTTGTAAATTTTTTTTCAAACGTCCTTATTCGACACCATGAAAAATAGAGACCTTAGGCAAGGAGACCCATTATCAAACGTCCTAGGCAAATTCGACAGCATGGAAATTTTTTTTCAAACGTCCTTATTAAATGAGTATTAATTTTTTCCATCATTATAGAAAATAGAAAAAATATTAAAAAAATGTTCTTTTTATAATGAGACGAAAATATCATTTTGATATTTTTCTACTTTTTTTTTATTTTTTTATCTACCATTTTATTTCTAGACTTTTCATTTAAAGTTTTCATTTAAAGTTTTGAAAAAATTATAAATTTTTAATACAAAATTTATCAAATGAGCCATTAATAGAGTCTTATTATTTGAAACGATTAATTTACCTATGCCAATAAAAAGAAAATTATTGTTGAATTTGGTTAGTTTGTGAAAAAAATAATAAGAAATGTTAACAGAATAATTCGTAATATGTGTGGGAGATGAAAAAGTTTATAAAAAAAATTAGATCCTTTTAGGAAGTTAGTTTGGAGGCTTTTTTGGCTAAAATAACTACAAAAAACAAAATAGACTTTTTAGCCTAATAAGATAAAACATCACATCCAATTCATAATTAATACATTATTTCTCTCACAAAAAAATTAAAAAAGCCTAAAAAGCCAAAAGCCATTCCCAAACCAAAAAAGTCAAAAAGCAAAAAAGCCAACTCACTTCCCAAACGAAGCCAGTATAGGATTTTTTTAAAAAAGGGTATTTTAGTTTTATTATAAAAAAAGAAAGAAAATTTATTCATAAATCTCATATTGGGGAATGTTAATTCATTTAATTCTAAGAGTTTTTTTATGAACTAATTAGTCATTTTTGTTTTGAAAAATTGTATTTATTTGATTTGGTACTATTTGAGTTTAAGTGGATGCTTTTTGTGATTCATTTTTCTATTTTTATAATTCGCTTTTGGGATGAGAATAGAAAGGTAAGAGTAGAAAATTCCTTTTGAGGGGATTGGTGACTGAAGTGTTGGTTGTTGAACGTTGAGATCTACATTTCTACTAGTGTGATTTTCTAGTATTATATTGAAGTGTTATATTAGAGTGCTACATTTGAAAAAATACACTAATGAAGTTTTGTGTGTTACATTGATTAGAGTGTTACGTTTGGGAAAAGCATACTAAATTTTTTTTTTAGAATGTTACATTGTTATATTTGAGAAAAGTATATTAAAGAGTTTATTAATATATTACATTGGAATATTACGTTTAAATATACTGAGGAGTTTTTTTTTGAAATATTACGTTATTACGTTTGAGAAAAGTACACTAATGAACATTTTAGTATGTTACATTGAAGTGTTATGTTTGGAAAAGTATACTAAGGAGTTTTTTAGTAAATCTAGAGTGGTTAGAAGTGTTCAATTTCAAACTATGGGGTTTACCTAGATTACTATCAGGCCATTGCCCCTTAATTCTTATAGAGGATGATAAGGACTGGGGTCCTAGACCTTTCAGATTCATAAATGCATGGATCTTACATCCGCAGTTCTCAGGTTTTCTGGAGAAAATTTGGATGGAGGCTACAGTAGTTGGGTGGGCAGGTTTTATCCTACATAGTAAGCTTAATTTGCTTCGAGAGGCTTTGAGAAAGTGGAACAGAGAAGTATTTGGGGATGTCCCTACTAAGCTTAAGTCAGTAGAGGAGGAATTACATAAGCTTGACCTGCTAGCAGAAACAAGAGATTTAGAGGAGATTGAGAAGGCAAGAAGAAAAGAAGTATTAAGTGAGGCTTGGAAGTTAAGTAGAACGGTTGAATGGATGTGGCTTCAAAAGGCTAGACTTGACTGGGCACTGAAGGGTGATAAGAACACAAGGTTTTTTCATATCATGGCTACTAGTAGACAGAGCAGAAATGGGCTAAATTCAGTAACTGTGGGAGGTATGGTGTATGAAGATCCTGTGAAAGTCAAACAAGAGGTATGCTTGCACTTCATCAGGCATTTTTCAGAGGAATGGAAATGCAGACAATCATTAGAGGGTGTTTTCAAAACAGTAAGGAGTAGTCAAGCATTTGAATTGCTTGAATCAGAATTTTCAAAGGATGAAATCTGGATAGCCATCAAAAATTGTGAAGGAAACAAGGCTCCAGGACCCGATGGGTTTAATCTTTTATGTTACCAGAAGCATTAGAAGATAATGAAGGGAGATTTGTTCCAATTCATGAAAGAGTTTCACACTCATGGTAAATTGGTCAAAGGTATTAATAGTTCTTTGATAACATTGGTTCCCAAAAAAGAGAATACAGTGGGATTGTCAGATTTTAGGCCTATAAGTCTAGTGGGCTCAGTTTACAAGGTTCTATCTAAGGTGTTATCAAATAGACTTAGGAGTGTTCTGCCAGAAATAATCAGTGAGGCTCAATTTGCTTTCTTAAGTGGCAGAAATATTTTGGATGGAGTATTAATAGCAAATAAGGTGGTTGATGGGTGGAAGAAGGCAAAGAGGATGGGTGTCATAGTTAAGTTTGATTTTGAAAAGGCCTATGATTCAGTCAATTGGGAGTTCCTACTCTCAATGTTATCAAGATTTGGTTTTGGTGATAAATGGATAGCGTGGATAAAGAATGTGTTACATCAGCTAAGGTTTCAGTCCTTGTGAATGGCTCTCCCACTGAAGAATTCTGTCCCCAAAAAGGGTTAAGGCAAGGTGACCCTCTCTCCCTATTTCTATTTAATATAGTGGCAGAAGGTTTAAATATACTACTGTCCAGAGCTCTAGAAAAGAATTTAATAATGGTGTTAAGGTTGGGACTCATGGTGTACTTGTGTCCCACCTGCAGTTTGCTAATGATTCAATTTTATTTTGTGAAGCTGAAGTTCAGGAAGTAGTGAACATCAAGAGAATCCTAAGATGTTTTGAACTTATATCAGGGCTGAAAATAAATTATCATAAGTGTGTGGTTTGTGGTGTAGGTGTGAAAGAAGATATTCTGGTTGAACTTGCTGGTAAACTTAACTGTAAGGCTGGCTCATTACCATTGAATTACCTTGGGATTCCGTTGGGGGAAAACCCTAGTAGGAGGAGGACTTGGAAACCAATTCTTGATAAAGTTAAAGCTAGGTTAGCAGGTTGGAAGAGGAGGTTCTTGTCTTTCGTTGGAAGGTTGTCTCTGATTAAATCAGTCCTAGCAAGCCTACCTATTTATTACTTATCTTTGTTCAGAATGCCTGAGGGGGTACCCAAGGATCTTGAAAGAGTTCAATCTGCTTTCCTTTGGGGAGGCTCAGATCTCAAAAGGAAAATCCGCTTAGTCAAATGGGAGGAAGTGACTAGAAGTATTGATCAAGGAGGTTTGGGGATTAGAAAGGTCAGAATTACAAATTCTTGCTTGTAACTTAAATGGTGGTGGAGATTTGCTTCTGAGACAAAAGCATTGTGGAGGAGAGTGATTTGCAGTAAATAAAATTTGGAGGAGTGTACCTGGCTTCCTTTTCTTGGGAACAGTTCTTTGCAGTCAAGATTATGGATAGATATTAGTTCAGTGGCTAATCAGCACGCTTTTCTAGTGGAGTTTTTTCGAAATAATTTTAAAGTAAGGGTGGGGGATAGTTGCAGGGTCAGGTTTTGGGAGGATGTATGGTGTAACTCCCAGTGTTTGAAAATAGAATTCCCAAGATTGTACAGCTTATCAAAGGAAAAGAGGGGTTCTCTTTATTTGTTTGCAAATTTCAAGGATTCTTTAGGGGAGTGGAGCATTTTACCTAGAAGAGAGTTGTTTGAATGGGAAAAGGTGGAATTGCAGAGATTATTCTCTACTCTCTCATCTGGTCCTTCTGTAAGCTTGGATAGAATAGATTACCCAGAATGGTCAGCCACATCATCAGGTATTTTTTCGGTATATTCCCTATACAAACTTTGTTCATTGGAGGGTGGAAATTACCTTAAAGTCAGTGGTTTGCTATGGAATAAGGTCTTACCTCCTAGAGTTCAGTTCTTTGGTTGGCTTGCTTGGAAACACAAGATAAAGACTTCTGTATTCTTACAGAGAATTGGAGTCTTATCTGGTAGAAACTGTACTCTATGTTGCTTCTGTCAAAAAGATTTGGAGTCGGTTACACATGTGCTCCTTCATTGCCCTTTTGTATGGAAGGTGTGGTCATCAGTGTTGAAGTGGTGGGGGATTCATTGGGTAATTCCTAATTCGGTTGTGTCTTTGTTGCATTGGTGGGAGGGAGGAGAGTTTAAGAAAAAAGAAAAGGTGTTTTGGAGATCAATCCCTCTTGTAACTCTGTGGTCTATATGGGAGTTAAGAAATGAATGTGTTTTCAAGAAGGCTAGTGCTGATGCAGAGGTCTTAGTTGAGCTTATCAAAACTAGATTGGCTCTTTGGCTTAGTTCATCATCAAAGGATTGGCAATACCCATTGAGTGGTTTTATTTATAACCTAAATCAGATTAGAAGGTGTCTCGGTAGGGGTTGATTGTTCTTTCTTGCCGTATTGCAGCTGTTTCTGGTATAATGCTGCTGTATGGTTGCGTGTTTCTACTCTGCAGCTGCTGTTTGCTTGGTTGTTTTGATGGTTGCTGATGCTTGGGTTGTAGGATGATTTGATTGTATGATGGTTGTTTGGTTGCTTGGTTGCTGCTGCTGCTGCATAGGATGATCTATGTTCGAGGTGCTGATGTTCTGTTCTGTTGCAAATGTTCTGTTGCATAAATGCTGGTTGAGGCTATGGTTGCTGGTTGAAGAGCTACTCATGGTTTTGGTCCTGGTCTGCTGTTGTTGAAGACGTGTTGTTGAGGCTATGGTCTGCTCATGGTTTTGGTTCTGGTCTGCAATAGTCTGTTGTTTTTTTGGCCATAAAGTGCTGGTGTTTGTTGGGGGTGGAGTTGGCAGATTTGGAAGGTTGTGGTTGGGTGGTTTTTATCTCTGTTTTTCCATTTTTTCTTTGTTTTGGATTGGCTTCTCGCCAATTTGTGGGTCTAGTGCTAGCAGATGATTGTGCTTTCTCCTTAGTACCAACCTAGTTGGGATTGTGGAGTGTTAGCTATGATTCCTTTATTGATGTACATTGTTGCGTGTTTTGCTCATCTCATCAATAAAGTTTCCTTTTCTTTGCTGATCAAAAAAGGAGTTTTTGGGTGTTACGTTAGTTAGAGTGTTACGTTTGAGGAAAATACATTAAAGAGTTTTTTTGAAATGTTATATTGTTATGTTATGTTTTTTAAGTGTTACATTAGAGTGTTATGTTTAGAAAAAGTACACTAAGGAATTTTTTTGAAATGTTACGTTTAGTAATTTCAACATTATGAGAAAACTCATATTTGTCTCTTAACACATAACACATGCGCATTTATGCTTTACCTTTTATGTACTTCACACTAAAATAGGACCTTTGGATCCATAAAAAAAAGGGGACCAAACAATTTATAAAATCACTATTTAAGATTTATTGGTATTTCATGCAGATAAGAATTCTTGAATACTATGCATTTATTATTTTTTTTTCTATTTTTTTTATGATAGTGGAGAAAGTTAATACTAATTTAATGCATTCTCAACAAAATACCCAACAAAACCCTTGTTTTTTTGATAAGCAGATGTTTGGATCAGTTTGTGCACATATCGACTAATCTCAAGGTCTTAAAGTTAATGCGACCAGGCAAATATTTGGTGGACTCTTGAGGTGACTCAAATTTGATATCTCAAATCTTATTCTCAATTTTTTATTACTCGGCCAACCTTTTAATAACAATAATTATATCACTTAAAAATTTAAAAACCTTTCAAAATGAGTTAAAATTTTAAATTAGAGATTTCTTGCTTAATTTTAAATATTCGATACGATTTTGTTGCCATTGTGGTGTGCTGCAATCCCTTCATTAATGTCACCACTATTATGTCACAATTGCATCACCATCATTTCTATTGTTGTTGTCGCCATAACCACCCAACCATATTACTAACAACACAATCATCATAATTGCCAAAGCTTTGTGGAGGAGGGTCATTTGTAGTAAATATCGGTTAGATGAGGGGAGCTGGAGCCCTCCTGCTAGCCCCATAAGCAGGTTCTCTAAAATATGGAATGACATATTATCAGGATTTGATCAGAGTGGCAGCTTGCTGGAATTCTTTTTGAATAACTGTAAGGTGAAAGTGGGGAATGGACATAGAGTTAAATTTTGGGTGGATAAATGGTGTAACAATTTATGTCTCAAAGATGAATTCCCACTCTTGTATAGGGTGGTAGGCGAAAAGGGTGAGACTCTAGCTGCTATGCTGGAAAGGAAAGAGGCTGCTGGTGAATGGGTGTTCCACTTTAGAAGGGAACTGTATGATTGGGAAAGTCCAGAGGTAACCAGATTGAAAAACCACCTAGAGGCAGGCTCAACTATTAGGAACTCTGAAGAAGATACACTAGTTTGAATGGCCTAAAAAACAGGGAGTTTTTCTGTTGAATCAGTGTACAGATTTTTAGCAGCTGCCTTCGGTAGCTTCAGTCCAACCAGCAAAAGGATTTGGGTAAAACACATCCCACCCAGAGTTCAATTTTTTGGATGGCTTGCTTGGAAAGGAAAATTAAAGACTTTAGAATTTCTTACCAGGATTGGTGTACTTCATGCTAATGTCTCCTCAGTATGTTGCCTGTGCAAATCTGGGACTGAGACAATTAACGATGTGCTATTGTCATGCCAGGTGGCTTGGAGTGTGTGGTCTGCAATACTTAAATGGTGGGATGTCCAAGGTGCTTTGCCAGATTCAGTAGAGGCTGTTCTTGACTGGTGGGCAGGGGTGAGGTTCACAAAAAAGGCGAGGTTGATGTGGAAAGCTCTTCCTTTGGTTGTTATGTGGTCTCTATGGAACCATCGCAATGAATGCTTATTTCGAGATGTTGCCCCAAGTGGGGAGGGTGTTTCTGATATGGTTAAGGTTAGGATGGCCTTTTGGTTTAAGGAGGTATATAAGGATTGCAGGTTCTCTGTGCATGATTTCATTTTTAATTTGGAGCACATTAGATCTTGCTTGGGAGATGCATCCAGGGGTGTCTCATAATGTTCTTGCTGAGCGTGGGTTGGTTGATATTTTTGTGGAGTCCGCTTGATTTGCTGTGATATTAATCTGCCTTATCTGAGTTGTTCTGTTTAATCTTCTTCACCTGCTCTGCCAATCTGCTTCATCTGCTCTGGTTCTTCGGATCTGTCATTCTATTATGTATGTTAATCTGCTTCACCTGAGCTGCCAGGTTAATCTGCTTCACATGGTCTGCTAGCTACTCCGGTATACTCTAGTCCCATGCAGAGTAGGAGAATGTATTCAGTGGTTTAGCTGCTATCTTCATTGGTTTGGCTGCTATCTGCTGTATAATGGTGCTGCTGTATTATGGTGTTGCTGGTATACTCTGTTGTTTTTTCTCTCTGTTTGTTGGATTCTCTCCAACTAGGAGGTTGGAGCTTGTTCTAGCTCCAAGCTCCTCTTCATTGATGTTCTCCATTGTACTTTGTACGTGCTTCATCAATGAAGTTTTTTTTGCCGATCAAAAAAAAAAAATAATTGCCATTATCTAATTATCCTATGTTCCTAAAATTTTACGTTGATTGTGTGCCAATGGTTAAATAAATAAATGACCCTGATGATAAGGAGATAGTGGACAAAATATAATATTTCATTAATCAAACATATAAACATGTGATGTTTCTAACTTACTAGATAATTTATGCTACTAGGAATAAAATTGTTTTTGATAATTGGAGAACTCGTCAGAGATGAAAAAAGTTCTTGAATTTTTGGATACTCTGGAAAGTTGGATGTAGCAATAAGCCTCAAAGCAGAAAAATGAGTCATTTATCACGGAACAACCATCATTCATGAAAAAGGTTGGAGAAATGTGGTAATTGAAACTGACTGTCAAGATGCTATCAAACTCATCAATGAAGGAGCTCATTCAAACTGTCCTTACCGTGCTCTTGTGAAAAATATTAAATTCCTTACCTCCCGTATGGCCTGTATTATCAAACACATTTTTTGAGAAGGCAATTAGTGTGCAGATGCTCTTGCTCATATGAAAGAAAATCAGGTAAAAGTCTTGAAGATTTATGAAGGCTCTCCTATTTTGCTAAGCCCATTCCAGTGGCTGCCATAGTTGGAGTTATATATGAGAGGAATTAATCCTCTATTTTCTTTTATATTCTATTGTTTAACTTTCCTTCCTACCTCAAAAATAAAAAAAAAACAAAAAAAAAAACTAGCACCATCACCGACCCTCTATACCAAAATTTGAATAACAAATTTTGGGTATAACTTTTGAAGATAGCAATTACTAAATTGAATTGAATAGGCAAACAGACGAAAATCAAGCAAACTCACACGGGGACAAAAGAGTCATTTTCGCACATCTTAATTTTAAGGTTCACATCCACGCCTCTCTTTCTTTCTTTCTTTCTTTTTCTCTCTCTCTATTACCTGAAAGCGACTTCAAGCAATCTCTCTCTCTCTCTCTCTCTCCCTTCCATTATACATACACACATATAATATATATATATATATATATTCCGATGTAACACCGACTCAAACCCATTACCGTTCTTTTATAACTCACTCTCTCTCTCTCTCTCCCTCTCTCTCTTATCAATTCATGCTCTAAGGTCTTTAACAATGGTGGATCTTCAGACTGTATGCTGTATGTGTGGTGATGTAGGCTTCCCCGAGAAGCTCTTCCGCTGCAACAAGTGCCACAATCGCTTTCAACACTCGTATGCACCACCACCACACACACACAGACACACAGACACACATATATATATGTATATCATTCATTTATATTTCATCATCACCATCACTCTCACATACCCATCATCGAATTTCATGTTTTTTCTTCACACACACATATATATATGTGTATCATTCATTTATATTTCATCATCACCATCACTCTCACATGCCCATCATCGAATTTCATGTTTTTTCTTCATATCATAGGCCTATATAGTATATATCCATCTCCACCAACAACCACCATCCCCAACGACCACCACCACCCTCCAAGGCGCCAAGGGAACATCCTAGGCTGTGTAGCCCACCAACCCCTTCATCATCATCATCATCATCATCATCATCATTAATATCATATCATTAAGTATCACTCATAAAATTGTATCAAGAAAAAGTTTTAAAATCCTTATACGTACTAATTGATATTTAAAACACTAACTTAGCCTTTTAGAGTTAAAAATATTTATCAATTGAATTGTGCTTAAATTCTTCATGAAATTGTAGGTATTGTAGCAACTACTACAGCGAATCATCAGAGCCAATTGAGCTATGTGATTGGTGCCAAAGTGAAGAAAGAAGCTCAACAAGACATGGAAGTTCTTCAAAGAAGTCTTCAACCAGCAACGACACCGCTGCCACCAAGAGATCCGAGTACTCCGGCGACAAAATCAAGCAACATGATCACCGTGAAGACACCGCCACTGCCGAGAAGGGGAAGAATCCGACCGGTGCGCCGTCGCCGAGGCCTAGTACTCGCAGGTACAAGCTTCTCAAGGATGTCATGTGTTGAATCAAAACAAGACTTATGTATCCAAGGCTTGTGTTGTGTGTGTGTGTGTGTCTCTCTCTCTCTTTCTCTCTCTCTATGTATATTAGCAAATGTGCATTATAAGTTTGTTTTTGTGGGTTTTTTTGAGTTGTTGAGTTTTGTTTTGGGTTTGTGGTTTGTAGTAAGTTGTTAAATAATGGAACTTATATTATAATTTGTTTTTGCTTACAATTTTGTTCATACTTTAAAAATTTTAGCATTTTAACATTAGAATTTTCATTCATGCAGTTGAAATTCTCAAGCATGCCATCCAACTGTTTAATTAAAACAAAATTTCGCTGTGATCCTTACTGATGTTTATGCAATATGATTTGTGCCTAGTAACTTGAATGTTGAAGTGAAGAAATTTTAACATGTTCGGAATTATATCACTATGATCCTTACTAATGTTTATGCAATATGTTTTCTGTCTAGTGATCTGAATGTTAAAATGAATTTTTTAAAACATGTTATGAATTATATCTTTAAATGATAGAATTGATGATAATTCAATATACTTATATCATTCTCGCCCTACACAACACCGAGGGTCACGACACTGTGGGTCACTTGCATATGAAAATGTTAGAGATCATGAAAGTTTTATCAAATTTTTTATCAAATGTATCATATAGATGTAGGACAAATGTATGACATGGATGTGGGATGTGTAGGTCCCGCATCAATGTGATACATTTGATAAAAAATTTATTAAAATTTTTAAGATTTATAACATTATTCTTTGCATACAGATTGCACTCTTGTGCATACATATGCTACATGCACCGTAGGCCATTGCACGAACGCTGATGATTTCCATAGGAAAGTAGTATTAGGGATGCAAACAATAGCAACCCAATTTTTTTTTTTTTTTTTGGTGTGTGTGTGGAAGATTTTAGACTAAATATCAAAATAAAATTTTATTTAATCAAGTCTTTGAAGAGTTGAAACTTTTGACAATAAGAATTTTAAAAAAAAATTTATTGTAAGTTTTATGCCATAGCTTAAATGACTTAAAGGTTGAACCACGTTGCCTAATGCAAATCATGCAAGTGAATAAAATGAGATATAGTTTGATAATCTAATGTGTTAAGGTATTGTTGGTGATTCTTTGCACTGATCAGATTGTCTTGGTAGGGTTAGGGTTTGGGTTTGTGTTTGTGTATGGGGTTTTTGTCTTTGTCATGAACAGGGTTGTAGGTGGGGGGTTGCACACTTCACTACATTGTTGAGTCCCTTAAGGAGAATTAAATGCATTTGGATGGCTTTTACCCAAAGTATTCATAGTACCTAAAGCTGATGGCTTTTTCAGATTCATTGAAAGTATTTATGAGGCCCCTCAATTATTGATTTTTTGGTAGAAAAATGGACCAAAACAAATAAAGCTTCTTAGCAGAAATGTGGCTTGTTTTTGGAATATTATTTTTTTTAATTTTTTAATTCTAGTAATAGGGTGTGGAGTATGGAGGATAAATTCAAGTACAAAGAAAGGGAAAATAGTACACCTAAGTAAATTTTAGGATAAATTACAGCCCTCTTTCTTATCAATTTGGTCTTTACAGGTTTTATTGTATCAATTTTGTCTTTGAATTTTTTTTTACATTTTATTAATTTAATTCAATTGATAATATTCATTTAGAAATTTGATGGAAATAACTTTTTTTTTTTTTTTGGTATGAACTTTTTGTTTGTTTCTATATATATATATATATATATATATTAGTGCATTAAACAAGAGTTTGAGACAAAATTAGGAGTCAATTAGTTTTTGCTTCATTCAAGGGAGAGGCTTCTTCTCCGTTCGTGATCAGACTGGAGTGTGTTGTTTTGCGTTTGGCGAACTTTATTCTGAATTTATTTTGATGATTAAAACTATTCAATGTATAGAGCTCATAGAGTACATCATTCTTAAATAAATCACATTGATTTAATTTTATTGACTACTTAATCAAATTATATTTATGTTAACAAAATAAGATTCACCACATGCAGACAGCACCCTTCCATTCACGATCCGATTGGAGAGAAGCGTCTCCCATCTTGATATTTTGTCCTGGAAGATAGTACGTAGTAATGTTGATCCGTAGTTGTCTGAAATTATCATAAAAGTACACAAAGCTCATAAAAGTCTCGTCCACTTATTACTGTATCTGTTTTGGCCATGTATCATAAAAACAACAAAAAGCTTTTCAAGTGACAATGAAGCTTTGATTTATATCCACTATAATCTCTCTCTCTCTCTCTCTCTCTCTCTCTCCCTCTCTATCATTATTATTATAATCTTTTTTAATTTTTATTTGAGTAAATCTAGAAACTCAGAAAAAATGTCTAAATCTTGAATTAGAAAGTGAAAGTGTGGCTAAGATTAACCCGGTGTAGTAGCTATAATGAATTTGAATCACTTATTAATGATTCTAGATAATATTTTGAATCACTTTTAAAACAAAATTATCAGAAAATTTCATATAGGAATCCGTTATTTCGATTAATCCCATGAATTTTCTAATACATTGATAGGTCTTATTTGTTTTACCAACTTTACCGTGAGATTCTAATTTTTATTTTGGTATAATTTGACAAACGTTTCTATCCTTTTTCATTGGGTGATGCCATCTAAAAAAAGTTGGATCCAATTTTTGGATCATATTTCTGTCATTCTAACGTAACGATCCAAATTTTTTTTCTTAGCGTACTTTTTCCAAACGTAACACTAAAAAAAACTTTCCAGTGTACTTTTTTTAAACATAACATTCCAAAAAAATTTTGAGTGCATTTTTTTTCAAATGTAACACTCTAATGTAACACACAAAAAACTCCTCAATATATTTTTCCAAACATAACATTCTAATATAACACATTAAAAAATTGAGCAAACGAAAAAACTTCTTAGTGTATTTATTCCAACATTAACACTTCGACAAACAACAATAATTAAAGAGATTATTATGATAAATGAATCATTACACATCCAAAAAAACTATATGAATCACAAAAAAATTATAAGACTAATTAAAACATAATTGTAACATATAGGATTTATCGATACCTCTTTCCAAATCCTTTTTATTTTTCTCCCATGAGTGCCCTCTATCTCTTGAGATTATTTGCTTTATTTTACTAGTCTTGAAGCATTGCTCAACATCATTCACTTTGTATCACATGTCTAATTGTGTCTCAAAAGTCAACACAAAAATGACGATCTCTATTATTTTAACTAATAAAAGATAAATTGAGACACTGCATAAATTTATCCCAGAACCAGTCTATAAATTCCTCACTCTCTCCCATGATCTGACCTTCATGTGAACCTGATTTGAAGATAAAGAAAACTCTCACTATAAATGACCAAAACATTATGACCCATAAGGAGTTTCCATCTGTCCGCACTTTCCTTAGTTGCCACACTATTGTCAAAGAGAGTCACATGGTGGCTTGGCTTCCCCCTTTTCCAAGCAACTTTTATCACAGATTAACAAGCAATATATGATGTTATATTTTTGTTTTTTATTTTTTGTTTTTTTTTTGAAATCAATTAAAAAGTTAAAAAAATTAATTTGTTTGATATAATTTTCATCTTTCAGGCTATCCTAATGGTTTTTTTAGAGTACCTTAAAGCTGACTTGTCAAAATTTTTATAAGAAATTGATTTACCAAATGAATTAAGACTTATACAGCAAAGTGAGTGTATTTATTTATTTATTTTATTTTTTCTCAATATGTTTTTAAGCTACGACCAAAAGAAATAGTGCCTGCTCTTTATTTAAAAGGGAATATTTAAAAGAGAAAATCAAATGTAGATGTTGACCTCCGGAGGTGGTTTTTGAAAAGAAGTGATGATAAAAAATGATTGCCGATTGTGGGGAGGAGAGAGGTTGTCGATCACATGAGGTCGTGAGCAAAGGTGCTTACCGATGGTCGAAGTTTGTGGTCAAAAGTGTTTGTCGATTACTAAAGGCAGCGGTAGTTGGTGGTTCCAGAAAGAGTGGTGGCATAAGGTAGTTGTTGTCGGGAGGTGGCAACAAGCGTAGATGGTTGTCGATCAAGGGAGGTGGTGGACAGAAAGATCAATTGACAATAGTGGCTAGAGGTGGTTGTAGAGGAGGTCGTTAGTGACCGTGGCTGGTGGTGGTAGTAGTGGTGGCTAGAGGACGGGAAAAGGAAAAACGAATGAAAACTTATTTTTTAAATAAGTAAAATCGTTTTTTATAATTATAAGAATTTAGTAAATTTTATACAATTTTTTTAAATAAAAATAAATATCACACATTTAAATATAGTTTAAAGTTCATCGAATTGGTCAAGTTTAACTTAAATAAATAAATTTAAGCATATTTTAAAATTTTAAATTTAACTTAAATAAATAAATTTAAGCATATTTTAAAATTTTAAATTAAATTTAAATAAATTTTTACTCAGCTCAACGTGTTTAGACCCTTAATCTCCTTACGATATTTATCCCTTTACCAAAATTGAATAACTGAATCATTAGTACCCGGCCCGATCACATATGCCAGACATGTTTGGAATTTGTATTGGAGAATGGCAGATCCTGGATAATCCAAGCAAAGTGGATTTTGTTTGGCATGTCATGTTTGGGCTAAAATAATCATAAAAACACAAAATAAGATTTTTAATTTAATGAGATAAAATATTACATTTAAATCATAATTATTTCATTATTTCTCTCACAAAAGTAAAAAAAAATAAAAAAGTCTATCCCAAACGAGACTTTTTAATCCCATGCTAAAATAGTTAAAAAATCAAAAAACTAACCTACATCCTAAACGAAAGCCATGTACTCATACTCATCGAAGGAGGGCTGAGATTATTCAAGAATACACATTAATGTTGAGATTATGGATTAAATTTTTTATAGTAAATTCATAATTACAAAGGTGTTTGTGCTTAAAAGAAAAAAACAAAAGATACAATAGAGTTAGGAAAATTATTATATTAATAGATAGCTTAAAAAAAATTAAATTGTTATTAAATATATTTGACCATTTTATTTTGCATTGTAAATGTATTTATTACAATAAATATAGCCTGTGAGACTCAGCCTACTTAAAAAATAATGTCTAGAAACACAAAGATAAAATATGAAGGACCTATTTGGTAACGTTTACGTTTTCAGTTTTTATTTACAAAAATTTTATAAACTGGTTTTTGTTTATTTTTTATTTATTT